TTAAGAAAAATAGTCTTAGCAGAATAAAATTGTATTCTTAATTCTAGGTTTCTATAAGTGGGATACATTTTCAGTTCAGTTTTTGATCCTGGATTTATCATATACTATTTAATCTCTTATTTATTCTCTTATTGACTCAGTTTCCTCTTTTGCAAAATGAGGACAATAATAGAGTTGGATTTAGAATTTGAGTCAGAATAGTGCTGGCAATGGTAAACACTATTTAAAGCCTAGTAGTTCTTTACCACATTATTAGATGATTGCTTGTGAGTTAAGTAAATAGTTTGCTAATTCCCTATGTTTTACTATTTATTATGTAAATATGTCCTTGAAAGGAGTGAGTATAGTTCCTATAACTTTTAGATACAAAGTGTTCACTAATGAAAGTTGGTATAACAAGAAAATGAAAAATGAGGTTTGAATAACTGAAAATACATAATTAACCATAAATTCAAGACTTCAGGGCTTTCAAAATATCCACACTAATCAGTTCATTATTTTACCACATGAGTCTAGAAGAATATTTTAGCAAAAAAAAAAAATCAGAATTTGACTATAAATTTTCCATGAAATTCTAATAAAAATGAGAGATGAAATTTATTCTTTTGTTTTGATAAAATCTTACTGTACCTCTCTTGATAATTTTTAATAGTCATTACTTTATTGGGGTTACAATTTTTTTTACAAAGTTCTTTTTGCAGGTAAATAAAAATATATATACAGAAAAAGTAAAAATAAACTAACAGTAAATGAAAAACCTATGAAGCCTTTTCATTTTTTTTCAATATTTATCTTACTTTTAAAAGCTTGACTCCTGATATGACTTTTGGGATAAAGTGACAGACTCAGGTTTGATTCCCCCTGGTATTTCAACCAATACTCCACAATCTAAAGACTACTTTTTGAGGATAAATGACTGAGTAGGAGCACTACTGTCCTGAGGCTTTGCCTGGGGCCTATAATCTCACCTAATTATTATTCATGATGCCTTGGAAAAGCCTCAAGCTAAAGTTGTGATTGCTAAGTAGAACTAAACTTGTAAATTCATTTTAAACATCCTTTCTTTTGGTTTCATGACTTCATTTTTTGTTTAATTCATGTGTACCTTTAGATACAAATTATAGCAAGCACTAAAACCTAGAGCAGAAATCTGTTTTGAATAGTTTTTTTTTACTCATTTATAAAAAAAGTATTCTAATAACAAAATGCCTCAAGATTAAATTGAGTAATACATGTATCTGGATACATAAGCACCTTAAAGAGTACATGAAAAACTGTGATAATGGAGAAGATTTCAACCAATTTAGAATATTGTCACACAGTTTTCATTAGTCAATTTCTATTTCAAAAACCAAAATAATTTGATAAATTCAAAAGTGAATTTAGGGATGCAATGGTCTCTGAAAACAAGGAGATTAGTCAAATCATGCCACAGATTAATTAGATTTTTTTCACTTTTTCTTATATGGGAAATAATTCAATGGCAATAAAAATATTATTTATTGCCATCTGTCATGCTAAAACTTTCCATTATTGGTTTATTTCTAGGATTGACCATTGCAATCCTCTGCCTTTTCTTCTGGAAACTGTATCTGCTTCAGTTGAAAATGAAACACCATTTCCTACTGATTATAACATTTAAGAATTTCCTTTTTCACACCAAAATATTACCTCAAAACTGTTAGGATGCATAGTATTAAAAAAAAAAAAAGACAAAGATAAGGGCTGGTGATGGTATGGAGAAGAGGAAATGCTTGTACATTGCTAGTATGAATGTAAATTAGCATCCATTAGGGAAAACAGTGTGGAAGTTCTATTGTACAGCTAGTGAACACAGTTAATGACAATTGTTTTGTGTATACAAAAATTGCTAAAAGACTAGATCTAAAATATTCTAAGCACAAAAAATTATGTGAGGTGATGGGTATGGTAATTTGTTTGATTTGCTTATACCATGTTTGCACATACATATATCAAAACATCCTGTTGTATACAGAAAATATATACAATTTTTACTTGTTAACTATATATTAATAAAGCTAGCAAAAATAATCTCCTATTTCAAGAACAGTGACTAAATGTAAGAGCTGTATGTTTCAGATTACCTGGGTTAGAGCCAGATTTGTTATGTGTGTAAAGGGATAATAATAATTCCTATCTCAAGTAAATATTATGAAGATTAAATAAGACAAATGCTTTAAAAAAGTAGGTCATCTCATATATAGAAAGCACAATTAACTTTGTTATCATTTTCAAGGATAACTTTTTAGAATTTTTAATTTATTTCTCAAATTCTTCAAAGGGTATTAAAAAAAACCTTTGTGTGGTTTTGGAAAAATATGAATTCAATTATTTGCTCTTTTGTTTTCTTGATCATAAAACCAAAGGATTTGACTTTATCACCCCAAAGATTTCTCCTAACTATAAAAACATGTATGATTTTACGTATCTATGACTAAGATTCTAGACTTATTGTCCCTCTTTGCTCTTTAAATGGAATGCCAATTCTACTTCTAGTGGAGACTAACTTTATTTTTGTATATTATTTAAATTTAAGAACTACATTGAGGATATTTTGTACTTTTTCTGGAATTAGCTGTCATGGGATATTTTCCTGATGTCCTATGACAAGCTACTACATGTATTATCAAGCCCCAGAGAAGACTCTGAGAAGGTACTATCTTTTGAACTGACACCTTAAAAACCAGTCAGAGGGGTTGGGATTGTGGTTCAGTGGTAACAGTGCTTGCCTAGCATGTGTGAGGCACTAGGCTCGATTCTCAGTACCAAAATAAAATAAAACAAATAATAATAATAAACAAAATAAAAGGTCCATTGACAACTAAAAAAATATTTAAAAAAACCCAACCAAACCAGATGTTAATCACATAGAGTGTTCTATCTTATTGAGGGATTTAAAAAAACAACAACTGTTATGTTTCTGGAGAAGGCATGTTTCTTGAGTAACATATTACTCAAGAGACCAGTGAAAGTCCATGGTAATATAGCTGTATAATTTACAATTAAGTATAGTCCCTTCTCACCTTAGAAAAATGAAATTTTATATAATGTTATAAAGAAGAGTTATAGCTTCTATGTTAGTAAAAAAGGAAACGGAAGCTTTTCCTATAGGTTAAGCTTTCTGCTTATAATATGCGAGAGATAGGCAACACGCTATTTTGGTTACAAGTTATTTAGTATGATTAAATTCTTATAGGAATCACTAAAAAATAGTAAGTTAGGTTATATTAATATTAACTAATGCTGATGTTTAATGTAATATTATAAGTATGTTATAGTCTAAGTAACTGATTTCCTCCGGACATACCATGGCAGATATAAAATATGGGTTAAGTAAAGTTTCATTTAGAGTCATTATATACACTAAAATATTAACAAATGAAATGATATAATGTCTGGAATTTGCTTTAAAATAATACTGGATGTATAAATAAGACAAGATTATTTATGAGTTTTAATTATTGATGCCAAGTTGAGGTAAAAGAGGTTCATTATTACCTTACATGAAAAAAATAAAAAATATGGGAAAAACCCCATCAAAATAAAATATAAAAATGAAAAATATTGAAAAGCATAATTGTAACACATGATTTACTGATTTAATATTTTTATATGATTCCTGATTCATATCAATAAAAAACCCGAAAGACCCTAATAAGAACTGGGCATGGAGCAAGATTTAGATATTCACAAAAGGACTCAAAGTTCAAATAAAAATAGAAAAAGATATCCATTTTACTAGCAATCACATAAATGAATATTTAAATGCCAAAAGCTTTTATGAGATTTATTTTTAAAACAAAACCAGCTAATACTAAATGTTGACAAACTGTTGAGAAAGTGGTACTCTCGAACTCTCTCATGCTATTGTCAGGAATGTAAATTGTTACAGCCTTTCAATTCATTTACTCTTTGGTGCACCAATCCAATTATTTCAATATATCATAAGCTAGCATTTTCAAGAATTCAGTGGGGTGTTGATAGATATTTGTATGTGTAGGCCTTTGTTTAATTTTAAATGCAAATTTATACAATGACATTTAAAAGAATATTTTCCCTTTAAAAAATAGAGTTTATTTTTCAGGGTAGTTTTAGGTTCATGATAAAAACTGACTGCAAAGTACAAAAATTTTTCATATACTACTTTCCCCAAACTGTCTCTCCCATTTCCAACATCCTTAAGATATATGTTATTTTAAGAAGGATTCTATAGTCAAATGAGTTTGATTTTGGTCTACTACTATACACAGGTATACATATATCTAAGATGGTGAATAATAATATTCCATTTTATTATATGACATGGAACGCTTTCATCAGAGAGCATGTTAGGAACTAAGTTTCTGCAACACTTGTTTTTAGAAATTGTCTTTTAAATTGTTTTTAGAAATTGTCTTTTAAAAACCATCAGACATGCTGAGTACAAAAATGTATGTACAGATGTTCACTGAACTTATGTTTACCACTGGGAAAACTTGGAAATATTCCAAATATTTAATAATAGGAAAGTGGTTACCTGATTTACGTTATATCCTTAAACTGAAATATTATACAGTTATTAAAAATGCATGGCATTTATTGACATGAAAAATGCTACAATAAATTTTAAGTGAAAAAAGCAGGGTATCCAAAGAGCATTTATATCCTATGGTTTCCAGTCATAATTATTATAATTATATAGATTCATGTAATACAGAATACAAATATCAATATATTGAGAAAAGTATTCCAGAAAATATGAAGAGTAGTATCCCAAGGTGGTAGGATTACTATATTTTCCTGTATTATCTTTTTTTTACGTTGCACATGTATTAATTTTGTAAAAAATACTTATTAGAGACAACATGTTTAAACAGAGACATGTGGCATTTTTCAACACTAGGTATCAGAGACTTTTCATGTTTATTAAAAAGTTAAGTCCATAGATAAGAAAACTATAATTGTATGAAGAACCAATGAAGAGAAATCAAGATTCTTACCTTCTGGAGAGAAAGTGATGAAAACATAACAAGTGCTATGAGATCTAGTAGTGTAATAGAGGCAGTGATTTCCAGAGGCTCTATGCCTTTATGAGTCTCAGTGAAGGAGTCCCTCCTCTTCTTTCTGTAATAGAAACAACACAGGTACACACATTTATTTGAAGACTTTAAAAATATTTTATACAACATATTAAACTAGTATGTTGGAATTTTTTCATTTGTAAATATCATTAAGTTTGTAGCAAAGAACCAGAGAGAATTAGAATATTAGTATCTTTATACTTCAGAGTACTATGATTAACTACTAGAGTAATATTATACTCTTTATTTTCATGTTTATTAATACATATAAGGGAAATACACTTAATAATTTTTAAATCATTGATAAAAACAGTAATATAATATTTATTTTTCTGCCAGTGTGCTAGATCCTCTGTATCTTTTTAAATCCTCCCAATCATTCAATTTTTCGTCAACAATATTTATGAGGTGCTTACATTATGTTAAGCACCGTGTAAGGCACTAGAGATATGATGGTAATAAAAGGCATGACACAGGTAGCCATTAACACCCCTTTTTAAAATGAGGCCATTGAGCCTTTAGAATCTGATCCTAAACAGCCTAACTTCAAAGATACTCTTTCAATTAAAATCCATTTTAAAGAGTTTGCTTAGTTGCCAGTCTTACTATCACCACCACCAATGCAAAAAAAAAAAAAAAAAAAAAAAAAGCTCCAAACATTTAAAGTTAAAATGGGTAAAATATCAAAGAAAGAATAATAACTGATGCAGTGGTGTATGCCTGTAATCTGACGTAGGCAGAAAGATCACAAGTTTGAGGCCAGCCTTGGCAACTTTGTGAGATCCTGTCTCAAAATAAAAAATAAAAAGGGCTGGGATGTAGCTCAGTGGTAGGGCATTCCTGGGTTCAATCTTCATTACAACAACAACAACAAAAAGGAATTATAGCTAAATACAGTATAAAATATGTATGAAACATTTTATATGGATTACATTATTTATAATATGAGCTAACTTAATCCTCAGACAATCCAATAATATTCCAACATTTTTAGACAGGAACATTACCTTAGAGAGGATGGTTGACCTACTAAGTTTAAGTCTGGATCTACCTAATTCTAAGCCTTAAAATGTAACTGAAAGGAAAATAAGAAAAAAAAAAGTATTGAAATGGAGAAAGCAATAAAGTACTAGTAAGAACAATCACTAATTTAAGCTTTCTGATACATGTATGCAAACAAACACAATGAGTTATGCACTTGCATGGCTTATAGTGTCGTCACAGTTGAGTACCTACCACAGTATGGCAAAATAGTACCAGGCAAGGGAGGCCAGGGGGAGATGCAGGAGGCAACTATGTAAGAAGAAGAAGCTGAGTGAAAATCATTCTCAAGTACAGATTGTATCTGTATTGCCTATCTGCTTCCAAGAGGGGTCTCACAGCTAAAGAGTGGGAAACATTACCGTTTACTTGCTATATGATTTTGGGAAAATTACTTATCTTCTCTGGGCCTCAGTTTTCTAACTGTAAATGGTGGGGTTGGTATTGTTATAACACTTAACATTCATAAAGAACTTACAGTACTAGGCATAATACTAAATGGTGTGTGTGTGTGTGTGTGTGTGAGTGTGCGTGTGTGTTTTAAATAAATGCCTGGATGGGGTTAATAATGTTAATAGTCCCTTCACAGAGCATATTACTGTCAGTCACATTTCACTTCTATTAACATCTTGAGTATTCCTGACCTCAGTCCTATAATGTAGACATTACTACTATCTGGCTCTTAGCTTCAAAAATCAGAAACCTGATTTTATCTGCTCTCTGAATTGTTAAAAAAATTCACAAGAAGTTAATAAATTTAAAAAGGACCACTACTTACTGATAAAATCTACCTTAATACCAAATCACATACAAAATGCCTGATTAGTATAAAATTAAAGCAAGTAGAGTTGAAAACTCAACTTACACCTTGCATTAAATCATAATATTCTACTTTTCTACTGCATTAAGAATTTCTTTTTACCTTGATATAATATTTGGAGAAGGTGCAGTATCATTAATGTAGTATTCCTGCCAACAATGTTTAACCTGAATTTAATAACAAAAATTCAGAAAATTCTAAATTAAGGGACATGTTGTTAATGATTGGATTGGTTTCATTAAAAATGTCAATAATATAATACAAAAAGCCTGGGATTTGTGTTTTAGATTAATGGAGAGTAAATAGATATGACAACTAAATACAATTTATGAAACTTGATTAGATACTGGATTGGGGTGGGGAATACCACTATAATTACTGGAAAACTGAGATTATTTTAAATATGGACTTTAAGAATATTTATTAGTAACACATTTAAAACCATATTAGGTGATTTATTCCCATACATACATTTTTCATTCATGTATTATTTATAGTCATGGCTATTTACTAAGTCTTTACTCAGTGTGCTAAACTTGCATATAAAAATATTTTTAAATTTTTAGTTGATTCCTATTAGTTACATATAGCATTAGGATTCAATATGATGTAATTATAAAATCACAGAATAAAATTTGCTCTAATTCAATCCCTGGTAGTTCAGCTTACCTTCCTCTCCGTCCTCCTTCTGTTCCATTTCTTCCACTGTACTGATCTTTCTGTTAATTATGCATACATATACATATGTATACATATATGCACACATATACACATGTATACATACATACATATATATATATATATATATATATTTAAATTAGTGTCTTGTGGATATACATGACGGTGAGATTCACTGTGGTATATTCATATATATACATAGGAAAGTTAGGTCAGAGGCATTCCACTGATCTTCCTTATCCTGTTTCTCCCCCATTCCCAACCCCTTCCTCTACTTCACTGATCTTTTCTCTACTTTGATGGAATACCTACCACATCCCCTTTTGTCCCCCTCCCTTCTTTATTTTTGACTAGATTTTTCATATCAAAGAAAACATTCGATATTTGACTTTCTGGGTCTGGCTTATTTCACTTACAATGATAGTTTCCAGTTCCACCCATTTACCAGAAAATGACAAAATTTCATTCTTATTTATGGCTGAATAATACTTCATTGCATGTCTTTGCCACATTTTCTTTATCCATTCATCTGTTGAAAGGCACCTTGATTGGTTCCATAGCTTGGCTATTATGAGTTGTGCAGCTATAAACACTGATGTAGCTTCATCCTTATAGTACTCTGATTTTAGGTCTGTTAGACCACAGAGGGGACAGCTGGATCATATGGTGGTTCTATTCCTAGTTTTCTGGGGAATCTCCAGATTGATTTACAGAGTGGTTGTACTTACCTGCAGTCCCACCAAAAATGTATGGATGTATCCTTTTCTCCACATTCTCATCAACACTTATTATTATTTGCATTCTTGGTAACTGCCATTCTGACTGGTATGAAATGAAATCTCAGTGTGGTTTTGATTTACATTTCCCTAATTGCTAGAGAGGTGAAATTTTTTTCATATTTTTTTGGCCATTTGTATTTCTTTTGAGAAGTGTCTGTTTAGTTCTTTTGCCTATTTATTAGTTGTTTTATTTGATTTTTTTTGGTGTTAAGTTTTTTGAGTTCCTTATATATTCTGGATATTAATGCTCTCTCTGAGGAGAGGGTGGCAAAGATCTTCTCCCATTCTGTCAGCTCTCTCTTCATGCTCTTCTTCCCTTTGCTGTGTAGAAACTTTTTAATTTGATGCCACCCCACGTATTGATTTTTGGTTTTATTTTTTATGCTTTAGGGGTCCTGTTAAGGAAGTTGGTTCTTAAGCTGGCATGATGGAGTGTTAGGCTTACATTTTCTTCTAGCGGTTGCAGAGTTTTTGTTCCAATTTCTAGGTTTTTGATCCACTCTGAATTGACTTTTTATAGGGTGAGAGAAAGGGGTCATTCTTTCACATGGATATCCAGTTTTTCCAGCACCATTTGATAAAAAGGTTCTCTTTCCTCTGGTGCCTTCGTCTAATATTCGATAACTACATTTATGTGGGTTTGTTTCTGTGTCTTTTATTCTACTCCATTGCTCTTAATACCTGTTTTTTTTGTGTGTGTGTGTGCCAGTACCATGCTGTTTTTGTTACTGTAGCATTGTAGTATAATTTGAAGTCAGTTATTGTGAGCCCTCCATCATGCTCTTTTTGCTCAGGATTACTTTGGCTATTCTGCATTTCTCATTTTTCAAAACGAATTTTAGTACTGATTTTTCTAGTTCTGTGAAGAATATCTTTGCATCAATATAATGCTTTTGGTGGTATCACCATTTTGACAATATTAACTGTGCCTATCTAAGACATGGGAGGTCTTTCTAAGGTCAATTTCTTCAGAGTTCTATAGTTTTCAATGCAGAGATCCTTTACCCCTTAATTAGATTAATTCCCAAGTATTTTATTTGTTTGAGGTTATTGTGAATGAGATAGTTTGCCTAATTTCTTTTTCAGCAGATTCATTATTGAAATAGAGGAAATCAATTGCTTAATGTATGCTGACCTTGTATCCTGCCACTTTACTAAATTTGTTTATCAGATCTAGGTGTCTTCTGGTGGAGTTTCTTGGGTCTTCAAAATATAAAATCACATCATCAGCAAACAGAGATAATTTGATTTCTTCTTTTCCTATTTATATCCTTTTAATTTCCTTCTCTTGTCTGATTGTTCTAACTAGAGTTTCAAGGATAATGTCAAACAGAAGTTGTAAAAATGGGCACTCTTGGGCTGGGGTTGTGGCTTAGCAGTAGAGCACTTGCCTAGCATGTGTGAAACCCTGGGTTTTATCCTCAGCACCACGTAAAAATAAATAAAATAAAATAAAATAAAATAAAGGTATTGTGTCCAACTACAACAAAAAACATAATTACTAAAAAAAACCAACAACAACAACAACAGCAACAAAAAATCGGGCATCCTTACCTTTTTATTTTTTTGCTTAGAAATTAAAAAAAAATGTTTTTTATTAGTGCATTATAGTTATACATAATAGCAGGGTTCATTTTGACATATTCTTTCATGCATGTAATATAATTTGTTTCCTTTCAATCTCCAGTACTTCCACTTAGGCTAAGCTTCTTAAAGCCTTTTCCTTTTAAAAATGTAAAGTTTTTTTTTTTTTTTTTTAATACCAGGGTTTGAACCCAGGGGCACTTAACCACTGAGCCACATCCCCAGTCCCCTTTTGTATTTTTTATTAAATTATTTATTTATTTGAATTTGTTATACATGATGGCAGAATGCAATTCATTTCATATTACACATATAGAGCACAATTTTTCAAGTCACTGATTCTTCACAAAGTATTTTCACACCATTCATGTCTTCATACATGTACTTAGGATAATAATGTCTCATTCCATATCATTCCTACCCTCTTGCTCCCTCCTTTCCCTTCCTTCCCCTTTACCCTACCTAAAGTTACCTTGTTTGTTTTTTTAGAGGAAATACTGTTCCTTTTATTCTATTCAATATGATGTTGGTCTCAGGTTTGTTACATATGGCCTTTACAATGTTGAAGTAAGCTCTTTCTATTCCTAGATTGTCTAGTGTTTTAAACATGAATTGGTGCAGAAAAATATTTTGAAAATAGCTTCTGCATCTATTGACAAAATCATGTGATTCTTGTCCTTAACCCTATATATGTGGTGAATTACATTTATTGATTTCTGCATGTTGAACAAACCTTGAATTCCTGGGATAAAACCCACTTGATCATGATGCATTATCTTTTGAATATATTTTTGTAAGTGGTTTGCTAATATTTCATTAAGAATTTTTGGGGCTGGGGATGTGGCTCAAGCGGTAATGCGCTTGCCTGGCATGTGAGGGGCGCTGGGTTCGATCCTCAGCACCACATAAAAAATAAAATAAAGATGTTGTGTCTGCCGAAAACTGAAAAATAATATTAAAAAATTCTCTCTCTCTTAAAAAAAAAGAATTTTTGCATTCATCTCCATAGGGAACATTGGTCTGAAGTTTTCTTTCCTTGATGTGTCTTTGTCTGGTTTTGGTATCAGAGTGATACTGGCTTCATAGAATGAATTTGGCAGTGCTACTTCCTTTTCTATTTAATGGAATAATTTGAGGAGGATATGTGTTCTTTAAAGGTCTGGAAGAACTCAACTCAGAATCTGTTTTGTCATGGGCTTTTCTTTCTTTCTTTTTTCTTTTCTTTTTTGGTAGTGGGGATTGAACTCAGGGGCACTCAATCACTAAGCTACATCCCCAGCCCTATTTTGTATTTTATTTAGAGACAGGGTCTGAGTTACTCAGCACTTCTTGGTAGCTGAGGCTGGCTTTGAACTCTGGATCCTCCTGCCTCAGCGTTGTGAGTCGCCGGGATTACAGGTGTGTGCCACCTCGCCCAACTGTCATGGGCTTGTTTGTTGGAAGAACTTTGATAACTGCTTCAATTTCATTACCTGATATTGATCTGTTTAAGTTTTTTATATCCTCATGGTTTAATTTGCATAGGTCTTGTGTTTCTAAATTTGTCACAGTCTTCAAGATTTTCTAGCTTATTGGAGTGTAGATTTTCAAAATAATTTCTAATGATCTTCTGGATTTTAGTTGTGTCTGTGTTGATATTTCCTTATTCTTCTCTAAATTGTGTTAAAAATGTGTCTTCTCTCTCTTTTGGTTAGTTTGGCTAATGGTTTGTCAATCGTTTATCCTCTCAAAAAACCTACTCTTTGTTTCATTGATCCTTTGTATGTTCTTTTTAAGTTTCAATTTCACTTATTTCAGTTGATTTCAATAATTTCCTGTCTTTCGACTGATTTTGGTGTTAGTTTGTTCTTCTTTTTCTAGGGCCTTGAGTTATAATGTTAGATTATTTATTTGGTATCTTTCTGTTTTTTTTTTTAAATGAATGAACTCAATGCTATAAATTTCTATTTTAGAAATAACCTTCATACTGTCCTAGAGGTTTTGCTAGTAACAGAACATAAAATATAGAGTTGGCTTGGTCAAAGGAGTGAAGGGAAAGGTAGTAAGGATCCCTCCATCTCAATCCAGGAAGACAGCAAAATAGCTTAAGTAACATCTGCTATATTTTAGAACTCAGACCATCTGTCTACAAAAATATTTTTCTTTCTAATGGAAGAAAACAAATACAGAATGTTAGAGCAGGTTGGCTGTTCCACATACCTTTCAGAAAGTTCTATAAGACATACTGGCAGGTCAGAAAGTAGAGGAGGGGAAAAAAATCGCTGTGACCAAAAAGCTACTTTCTGGTCATGGCTGAGACTTAGGCAAGGTGGAGCATAGCAGGACTGAAGAAGTCAAATTACAGATGCTTTATAATTATCTTCTATTTATTTATTTACTTATTTACAGGTTGTGCACATGCCATGGAATTTCAAAGATCTAAAAAGGTAGTGAAAAATCTCTCTTCCAGCCTTATTACCAGTCATCTGTTTTCCTTTCTCAGATGCAACCCCAATTATCAGTTTCATGTGTCCTTTCAGAGATGTTCAATGCGTTGCCATATCTACATATATATCCATAAATGGAGCAGGCTATTTACACTTTGCTTTTTTCACCTAAGATTTGTGAACTGATTTTATCAGTACATATAAAGCTACCTGATTTTAAAAGCTTCATTTATATAAAACTTACATGGTTCT